CACGGAGCCACAGCTCGCGTGAAAGACAAGAGAGGGCAGTTGCCTCTTCACCGAGCTGCTGCTATTGGTTCGGTGCCTATGGTGAACCTGATGCTCGAAAATAAGAGTCCCTTGAACGCTACTGATATCTCGGGCCTTACTGCTTTGCATCATGGTAAGTTCGCTGCACTCTTTTTGGGTCAGCGGATGATGAATTGGAGGCTGATGACTCAAAAGCGATCTCGGAAGGGCATGGAGACACTGCGCTGGTATTGCTAAAATCCGGCGCTGAGACGGACAAGAGAGATGTAGACGGGAATCTGGCGATCGATTTGGCACCAGACAAGAAGGTGAAACATAAGATCCGACACTTGCATCTCAACATGACTAAGTACTTATACTAGATACGGCAGTTCGTATTGCAAAGTGCGGAGAGAGAAGGCGTGGACATTGAAGAATCGCAGTAGTTATCCGTACCCTGAATGGGGTATCCGCTAGAACAACCCACCCGAACGCCTCAGGATATTGTACTCCTGAGTACAGCGACCCGCTTCCCAGAGCATATCACTGCATAGTGTTTTCAATCAATTCCCGATACATGCCTTTCAAATCCTGCACATCAGCCTTCAGCTCCTCCACCCGCTCGCTCTTCTCCCCAAGCATCTCAAGCGTGGTAAGATACCTCTCCTCCACCCCCTTCATCTCATTCTCTAATTCTTTGACTCTGCTCTCCCACCCTCTCTTCTCGTCCACCTCCTTCATGAGCCCAACAATCTGATCCCTTGCTTCATCTCTTTGACCAGACAAGCGACTGAGCTCATCTTTGTGACTAGCTTTCTCGCTTTCAAGACGCCGAACCGCAGCGGACATGCGCTCGACTAATTGGACAGAGGGGCCGGCACCGGCGGTGGATGCAGAGATTGCGTCATTGATGGTTCGTTCGGGGGTGGCGGGGGTTTGAACATCGAAGAAGTCATCGTTGTCATATCCAGAGGGCGTTCCAGGCACACCGTTATTGACAGATAGCTGGGGCACAGTGCTCAAAGAGTCATGACGAGATACAGGCCGGTGGTGCTCGAGATTTGAAGTTTGCAGATTGTGCAGAGGCTGCGAGGATGAGCGTCTGCTGAGCGGCCGTTCACTGGATGGGTGGCTGGTAGCCCCAGTGATTGCGAGACCTTGGATACGGCGGGCGTGTGGGCTGCGGTCCGCGTTGGACGATTTACGTGTGCGATTGTGGATAGTTGGGGACTCGATTCGGAACTGCTGGTAAAGTGTGTCTGGAGTGTTGGACCGCACATTTTCTTCTTTCATTCGAGCCTTTTCTTCTTCGATTCGTTGCGCTTGGCGTGCTTCCCATGCTTCACGTTCGGCTTTGAGGTCCTCTCTTGTTGCTGTGACTTCGGCCTCAGATTTGGCCAATCGCTCGTTGAGAGTAGCGAGTTGGATGCTGCGGGAAGAGAGCTCGTGGTCCATATCCTCTGTTTTAGCATTGACCCTTTCGAGCTCCTCTTCGATTCGTCTAGACTTCATGCTCTGCTGTACGTTAGCGATCGGTCCATAGAATGGGTCACAAAAGAAGACCATACTGTTTCCCGAGCCTTTCGTCGTATATCGGCTTCCCGTTTGGCAATGTCGTCCCTCTCCTTCTCCAAGATAGTAGCCCGAGACAACAGCGATCCCTCGATACCCTGCCAATTTTCACTAGCAATGGCATACTGGTTTTGCAAGGTCTCCAACTGGCGAAGAAGCTTGGCCTGCACATCCCCTGTTTGGCCGGCTGAAGCCTCTTCAGCTCGGGCGCGGTAGGCTTCTAGTCTGCTCTCTAAAATATTCTGCTCGCCTTGTCGTTCTATCTCGGCGACCCCGGCCCGCTCCTTTTCTCGTTCGGCTTTCTCCTTGAGCTCCCGCAGCTTATGTTGGTGTTGTTTCTCAGCTAGCTCTTTTTCGGCTTTGATGCTTAAAAGCTCATCTGTCAGGTCTGCCGCATGTCTCTTTTCTGCCGCTAGCGCTTCAGCGTTGGCTTTGACTTCCGCTTCTTTGGCGGCGGAGGTTGCCTGCGAGAGCTCGATCTGAAGATCCTGCATGAGCGAGTCTTTGGCATCTCGGTCTGCCCTGACATTTTCCAGATCTTTCTCAATTCGTCCGAGGGACTTAAGCCTTTCCAGTGCCCGCTTTTCGGCGCTCTCAGCCCGCTTCGCTCTCTCCTGAGCCTCCCGAGCCGACTTCTCATATTTTTCGTTCGTCCGCTTGAAGTCAGCTACGACCTTGTCGTCCTCGGTCGACTTCACTCGCAGCTTTTTGATGATACTTATATGTTTTAGCTCGGTCTGAGAGAGCTTTTGACCCTCTTCAATCAACAATGCAATTTTCTCGTCCTTTGCAGCCATCTTGTGCTCAATGCTACCCGATTGAGCCTCCGCTGAAGCATTCTTGGCGACTTCGGCAGCCTCTTTAGTTAAATATTGTAGCTTAGATTGTAGAGCATCTATCCGCTCTAGGTATATATGCGTCTCCTCTTGGCGCCGTAGCTCCGCTGCTTCATAATCCGATCGCATCTGCTCGATTATCTTTTCGTATTCTGCTGGCATTTTCAGGCTTGAGTCGATAAGGATGCCATTCAACTTAGGAGAGTCATTTGCATTGGGTGTCGTAGCCCTTGTCAACTCCAGAGACTGCCGCGCTGAAATGGAGCCACACGAGTCGGTTGAAGGGCGTGGGATATCGGACTCGTCTTTGGTGTCCTCTACCGTAGCCACGGGCGACTGAGCTGTAGGCGGGGTCGCTGTAGAAGATGCTTCAGAGCGCTGATCGTCAAGCTCCTGATCTTCGCTCGTCCTATTGACCGTTACTGTATCACCTGATGCCATCTCTTGCTCGCTTTGCCCTTGCTCATTTTTGCCATCTTGCTCGCGCTTAGACTCCCTCTGATGATCGGAACTTGTCCTTGGACTGGCCGCAACGTTTGCTGGACTGGCTGTCCGTGAAGGTACACCCGAGGGTGTCACTGAAGTATCACCCTTTTTGGCAAGATTGCGGTTGGCCATTGCCTTTGCCAATTTCTCATTGAGACGCTCTTGAGCTCGATTGGCTGACGCTGTCCTTGAAGGTGTCGGCATTGCGGCTAGGGGAACTGCCATGCCATCCTTCTTCCCTGGTTGCTCTTGTGTACCTCCATCAATTTTTGCCAGTGGGGCTTTTGTCTCTTCGTCTGCCAAAATGGTGTCCAGCCTCGACTCGACTCCAGCTAGGAAGGAGCCCCATCTTGAAGTCGATTTTTGCGCTGTAGGAGGCTGTGATGCCATCTCAAGCGCGAATTCTCGATTGCTCCAAAGCCTGGCAATTCAAGAACATACTGTATCAGTATCAGAGGTCTGCGGGTGCACTGATGGACTTCGGAGACCCTCGCATGCACCTAAACTATGACATGCTTTGCCGAGTACGAAGAGTGCATTTTTCTGGAGTGTAAGCGTATCAAATTAAATGTTCCTCGCAACTTTCGGACGTTGCTGATCGAGAATAATTGATTCTTGCTGTTAGATAAGATTACCGTCAGCAGATAATACTGTAGGTGCCACAATGTCTGGATCAAAGGTTATTCCTCACTCTTTTCAGAAGTGTACACTGTACAAGTAGACGATGTCGGAGCCTCTCCGGCGAACGTCAGCTCTTGCCGACCCGCTGCCGGGCCATCCCTGAGGCGATCCCTATAATTAGGGCACCTAAAGTACGAGTCTACCTTTCAATAATTCCCACATTTATCAGCATCGCAACAATTCTCTGAGGTTCTGGGTCTGGATCTATTGTCCTGGAAGTATTCATACACTATGGCGATCGCGGTAAGGTGATCTATCTGTAAATAGAGTATGCAGCTCTGATATTTATTCAAGGCAGTGGGCCAGATATGTTCGACAGCGAGCATGTCCAACAACCTCGCCCAATGTCAGATGTTGGTCAGAAAAGCTGTTGCAGCTGGCGCAAAGGTCCGTCTTCATGAATCCTGCGATCTCACCCATTCACTCAGCGTCTTAGCTCCCTAGGCACTTTTCCTGCCCGAAGCAAGCGACTACATAGCGTCCTCGCCCGCAGAGACAGTGTCTTTAGCTCGTTCTACAGAGGACAGCTCTTTCGTGAAAGGTCTACAACATGAGGCTCTCCAAGCAAGGTTGCCGATTAATGTTGGCATTCATGAGCCAGCGACCGGAGGGAAAAGAGTGAAGAACACGCTCATCTGGATCGATGAGGGAGGAGTTATTACTCAGCGCTACCAAAAACTCCATCTTTTCGATGTCGAAATCAAAGACGGTCCTTCAATAATCGAAAGCAAAAGTGTTGAGCCCGGCTCCTCTATCCTGCCTCCTTTCCCGACCAGTCTCGGTTCGATGGGCTTGATGATATGCTTTGACCTGCGATTTCCCGCACTGTCTGTCCGAATCCGTGATCTCGGCGCTCAAATTATCACATATCCGTCCGCCTTCACAGTGCCGACAGGCAAGGTACACTGGGAAACGCTCCTTCGGGCCAGAGCCATTGAGACGCAATCGTACGTCATTGCTGCTGCACAAGTCGGGCCGCATAATGAGAAAAGAGTGAGCTATGGGCACAGTATGATAATCGATCCCTGGGGTAAGATTGTCGCCGAGGCGGGTGGTGTGGAGGAATGGAAGGGCGAGCCGGAGATCAGCGTGGGTGAGGTCGACTTGGGAGATTTGGAAAAGGTGAGGAGGGAGATGCCTCTGCATCTTAGGAGGGATGTTGTCGACGTTGTGGAGACTAATTGAAAGAGTAAGATGGACGCGTAAAACAAGTAGAGGTCCCAAGCTATCTAAATTTCTAAATCTAAGAAACATCGGACTACAGACCGCCAGAAAGCTGGGGAAGGGAGATATCTCAAATCAAACAAGAAACATGCAAGAGGCCACCAATACACCATAAGATTCGTGAGCCTCGTAAATCAAGCGTCGTCATCGTTGCCCCAGCTAGCCGGGCTCTTGCTTCATGTAAACATCCAGGACCGTGACTTAGAACGCGACCTGGACCTTCCGGGCGACTTCTTCCTTACCAGTAGCAGATTGTCCTTTTCCCTCCTGAGCTCTACAGTGGAGTCAGTGATCAATTTTCTCTCGCGCAGTTTCTTTGTGTGGTCAAAGAGGATTGTTTGATCGCCTTCTGGAATCCACTGCTTGATGACGATGTAGTTCGAGTCACGCTGATAAAGTGGTGTCAGCGATACAGACATTCAATACGGCAACGGAATAGAAACCCACCTCGTCCCACTCCCAAGGCAGATTGTATTCATCCAATGTTTCCGGACTCACATGCTTCCGATGCACCTTGATGTACGTCGGCCGCGTCAAGTCCTTGATCTTGATCTCCTTGCCATGACCATGTCCCTTTCCCTTCTCCCCCTTCTTCAGTATCTTCTCGATACTCTCCTCGTCATACCCTGCCTGGCCAAATGTCTTCTTTACCCTCTCCTTGAATTCTTCGTCTGCCTCTTTCTTCGCCTTCTCTTTCTTGACTTCTTCCTCCGCCTGCTTCTTGTTGTACTCTTCGATCGCTTTTACTTTAAACTCGTCCTCTTCCTTCTTCTTCTTGGCCTTCTTGGCTTCTTTCAGGATCATTTCCTCCTCGTATTTCTCGCGCGCTATTTCCTCCTTCTCCTTCTCCTCAAGCTCCTCCAACTTCTTCATCTTCTTTTCCAACTCATAGTCGTAATATGGGCTGGGGCTCCTACTACCATGACTCCTACTGGGCCGCCTTCTCCGATGAGGGCTAGACGCTCGTTCGCGATACTCGTCTTCTGAATCATCGTAGTGATGGTCACGTCCATAGGAGCTTCTCCGGTGGTGGCTATGGCCGTGCGGGCTGCGGCTGACAGAGCGGTCTTCATACGGCGCGTTATTGATGACGATCTGCGCGGGACGCCGCGCCGCTGCTGAGTGGGAGCGGTGAAGGCCTCCACCTATGGCTGCGCCGGCGGGGACGAGGAGCCCGTTGCCGTCTTGGTAATAGACTGTTTGGCCCAGCCGGCCCCTGTTGCGGCCAGGGCGAGTATTCATAACGACGGGAAATCCATCGGCCCCAGGCCACTCCCCATGCTCCATTGCTGCTGCTGTACGTTCGGTGGAATGTTCGGTGGAATGTTCGGTGGAATGTTCGGTCGAAGTTCAGATGGAAGCGGAGTTGAGCGTAAAAGCAAAGGCCCAATTTCTACCTGGGCGTTATGAGGAAGAGTATCGGCTAGAAAGACATTGAAGACATTGGCGGCGAGGTCATACCTTTTATGTTTTCACGCTCGTGCGAGGAGGGGTTGAAATCCTTCGGTGGGGGCTATTTACAACTAGGTACCTTTAAAGCCGAGATTACGTGAACTGGGGGCCTGGATGATTTGGATGTAACCCTAAAGGCCCCTAATGCACGGGCTCACAGCTCGGCAGGGGTGAAAAAAAGTTCGGCAGGGGTGAGTAAATGCTAAGTATATGCACCTCGTCCGGGGTGAAAGGGATACACTCAGCATATGCCAGCACCTCATCGGGGGTGAAGAAAATTAAATACAGTCCAGCGATTTTTACGTGTGCGAGATACGGGAATCCTGTTGAAATTTGGCCCCCACGCATCCCAGCCATCGTGTTTCTCAGTCACCTGATTTTGTACTGTACTTAGGATCTAGCCCCGAAGAGGTTTTGAAGAATTAATCTGTCCGTTCTACATATCATATATCTGAAATTTTAATAAATTCCTATATATAGAATATGCGGTGCTGATGCTTAGTATATGTAGATTTAAAAAAGTCTATAGCATATACATAGTATATGCCTTTATCCCCCTCTAAAGTGCCGATATTATTTTCGACCCGGCCCGAGTTCATCGGGGGTGAAACGGATACGTTCAGCATATGCTATGAGTTCATCCGGGGTGAAGCGAGCTTCACCCCTGCCGAACTTTTTTTCACCCCTACCGAGCTGTAACCCGCTAATGGGGACCTCTACGTTACCGTACCTCAGAAAGATCGATAGGGCAGGCGGGAGCTCCCCTATAAGGCTGGAGAGCCTCCGTGGCGATTTGCGAGACGCCTCGCCGCGTAGAAGAAGGCTGTGAAAACCCGCGAAGCCGCAGTGACTCCCCCAACAGCATGAATTCGCAGGCAGCAGGAGAGCCATCAGCTCGCTGGCGTCATCGGATTGTTCAGGTATGTCATTGCGTTGAGGCCTGGCCTTTATGACTGTCAGCGTGGCGAGCACTGTTCGGAACCTTCTTCCTCAAAATTTGTTCCTTTTCGTTGCACAGAAAGCAAATCAGAGGACGAGGTTTCTGGACAAAACGTCCGGGCCGATTTGCGCTATTGATTGGCGGAGATTGCATTTACAGACTGACTCATTGTGCGACTGTCCATATTACATACCATATCATAGAAATTATCAGCTGGCTAAGCGGTGAAGCGATGGAACCATAAGCAGTAATCCCAGACGGTAGAGTGCACGTCATGTGCGAGTAAATGTCACTCAATGGGATTGGAACTTTACTAATTCTTTTGGTTGTTGTTTTTTCTCTCGTACCTATGCATTTGCCCAGTGAGCAATTACAGAGTACCCAGATTAATGATCCGGAAGACCTTCCTATACTCAGTGTGGTATGCCTACCATGGTGATTTTGATCATGCAGCCTATCCGACGTAGCACTGTACTCACTTTCCTCAAGTCTACGAGGAGTCTTCCGTTTGCTGGATTGATTCCCTCTGCGACCCTTTACTCCTTAATGGGTCACCCCGTATCCCACATCCTCTCAACCCTCCTCTCTCTTCCCATTGCATGCATGGCTGGGTTTTTGCGTTGTATGTCTGCATCCATTTCTGAAGGTTTTGGAATATCGGTGGACAATGAGCCTAGATGCCGCATCTTACATTTCTCAGCTTTCCATGAAGCCTACAGATTAATATTATATCAACGAGTATCAGGACCAAGGACGTCAAGCGCAGCGTGCCGTTCGAAATCTACCAGGTCTGAGCGTGGGATCCGCGGAGGAAGAGCGGCGATAGGAGGTACTGCTGGCAAAGGCTCGCAGGTCTTTTCCTTGGTGCTTCGAATACGTGCCTGCCTATACACCAAAAGCTTTAAGATATGTTTTCTCATTGTCGAGCTATGATTGAAGCCTCATAGAAAGTAAACATGGCCAGGCAAGCTGTCAGGAAAACTTACCGTCTAGGTACTAGAGGGCGGCGACCATTTTGCTTTTGCGCCGAATGAGAGTAGAGTAACGAGAAGCGGTTATTCACTAATGAAGCTGCATGAAGCTTGGGCCTAATTCGATGTAACTCCTGGCATTGGGCGGACGGTGGGTGTTGATAATAATAACTGGCGGCCTTCTGTGGCGCATGTCAACACACCACAAAGTACGGTGGGTGGTTTTTGAAGGTCTTGGCATTTCGGCAACTTGCCGTGCGCACCTCTTCCGCCATCTTTCAACCAAAATTCCGCCCCTCTGAATCGGGACGTATGCGCCTCTCGTTACACCATGAACGGTCAAGAGAATCATCAGACCACGGATGGCCCCTATTACAATGTCACCAAGACATCCCAGGCAGGAGACAAGAGGAAAAGTGAAGATGACGGCCCTCCCGAATCTGACAAGAAGACAAAGCGAAACCGATATATCTCCATTGCTTGGTGAGGCGCCCATCCAACGAACAAACGCGGAGTCCCTAATTAACCATTTCATGTCACAGTAATGAATGCAAGCGCCGCAAAATCAAGTGTAATGGACAGAATCCTTGCCAGCGATGTGGCAACTTGTCTCTGGAGTGTGTCTATGCTCCCAACTGTGCGTGCTCTGCCGGCTTTAAGGACTCACCGTAAGCATCTTCAGTGAGCTTAGACATCCATGCTCACCCGTTGTACAGGGAGTATCGTGCCATGAGTGCCCATATCCAGTCACTGCAGGAACAGGTCAACATCCTCTATGCTAACCTCGAAGCTCTGCGCAATGGGCAGGGGTATATTACCCAGCCAAACCATGCCCAGGAACCGTTCCCCTTACATCCTGCTCTTGCTCACTCGGACTCCTCGGGGCCATATCGGAACGCTTCATCGCCCTCACAGGCTCACGGAAGCCAGCCTCGTTTCCAGGGCCCCACAAGCTCTGCTTTCAGCTTCGATGTTGCTCGCTCGAGCTTACAAACAATGGGAATAACCGCACCAGAAATGCAGGAAGACGGAGGATATAATGACGATGAGATGACTCCCAGAGGTTCACCGCGCCAGCTCCAAGCACCAATAGCCTCAATGACGGTGCATCCCAACAAAGACCCATTATGGAAGATAGGCAAAGAAGAAGCGATCAGGCTTTGCCATGTCTACGAGGAAGAGATGGGTATCATGTATCCTATAATCGATATGGAGAAAATTATTACACAAGCGAACATATTGTTCACTTTCACAGAGGCAGCAGCGCGAACAGGCCTTATGAACGGAGCCATGTCCGGCCCTGATCGGCTCGCGAACAACGACGTCAATATTCTCAAGATGGTGCTGGCTATTGCATTGATTGTGGAAGGAGGGGGTCAGAGTGACCTGGGAACGATGCTGTACGAGAGTTGTCGAGAAGCTTTCGAAGGACGATTATCAGGCCCGGTCGAGATCAAGGGCCTGATTCTCTTAGTACTTGTGGTATGAATACCAATGAGCTCATATTCAAGTTTATGCTGACTCCAGATGAAGGCAGAGTATCATTTTCAACAGGATGAGGAAGTCCAGGCTTACCGAATCATTGGACTAGCATCCCGTCTATGTCTAGAGATAGGTCTGCATGGTCGTCAAACCATCGCGAAGATCTTTCCCAATGGTGAAGACCGATCGTGGGCTACCAAACTTTTTTGGTCAATCTATGTTTTAGATCGGCGGTGGAGCTTTGGTACAGGGATGCCTTTCGCTCTGCAGGACGCGGACATTGACCCTCACTTGCCGCAGCCGGTAAGATCAGATGGTTCTTCAGTTGACGCTATGACGCTAACAGACCAGGACGACTCGACCCCCTATTTGACCGCTATGATCGCGTACAGTCGTATCTCATCCCAAGTCTGGCGGTCCACCACCAAATTTGAAGGCCCCGGCAGTGAGATCAACAAAGACGGCATTGGCTATCTCGATTTTCAGATCCTGCAATGGCACAATAACATCCCCGAGAGCCTCAGGTTCCGTCAAGTGGACAATGCCATGGATACCAACCCTACCAGTCGGGGACAACGTCGTCTGCAAGTGATCCTCATATTGCGGACAAATCAGATGCGGGTGTTAATCTACAGACCTGTTCTACACTCGGCTACGAACATTATGGAAAATAGGGGCTACGCTCAAACCGTAGTGGACGTGGCTAAGGACACGATTAGGGTGCTGACTCGCCTGAACGAGACTACTGACATCTACCGCACGCAACAAGTCTGCTTCAACTACTTCCTCATCTCAGCACTAGCTGTACTTTTCCTCGCGGTCGCGCATGCGCCTGTGGAGTTCAGTCGTCAAGTCAGAGATGAATTCTACATGGCCCTGGATCTCATCAAAGGGTTTAGTGCGAAATCATATATCTCGAAGCGCCTTTGGAAAATGATCAAGGGGTTGAAGGAGGTTGGACCGAAGCTTGGAGTCATCTCGCGCCAAGCACTGACCGATCCGGACGACGCTCACTCCTCGGCGGCAGTGGCCATGGCTGGTCTAGCTGGCCATCAAGTTGATCGGGTGGCCGCGTTCACTTCAACTCAGCAACCGAGTTCGCTGGGCAGCAGTCCCTTGGACGGCCAGCAGATGAAGGATGAATTGACCAATCTGTTTGAAGCAGCAGGTGGTTACGGCAATAATCTCTTTGCAAGTAATCAGGCCTTGGATGGAGTGAATGGCTTCGTAGGATCTCAGGGAGAGATGGTTCCTGCAACAGGGGGCATCAGTGGAGTCTATGGTAATGAAGGGGAATTTTCGAGGATTATGGAATACCTCTTTTAATTGCTAGGCTTGCATATACCCAATCGGTAGGGACACGAATACTGGTTCTGGTCCATGGTTCTTGCGTTGGCTATGAAAGACCAGAATCCTTCTCAATATCTTACATTACTTGGCTA